TTTAAACAACAGCACCTGGAAAATGCAACGATATTTTAATTATTAATTTAAACAACACGTACCTACATGTCGTACACTGAACTAACAAGCGTTAAGGGACGCCGCCGCATCACATGATCCATACTATGCAGTGATTGGTCAAAAGATTACTGAGATTTTGTAATTTCGCAAAAGATTTTTAAATATACTTTTCTTTTGTATTATCACATATTTTTAGTAAAATTGTGCTGTAAATTAAAAAAATATATGTTTTTTACTTACCTGAAGTACTTTTACATTTTAATTTACCGCATTTAACGGAAAACTTGAAATTTACTTTGGAAAGTTACAAAAAAAACTATTTTTACTCTAAAGCCATTGGCATTTTAATTTTATTTAGTAAAAACACTTTAAAACTAAATTTACTTTAAAAGTATTGTTAATTTACCTTATGTTTCATGTAATACCATTGTAAATTTACAAGCAATTTTTTCAGTGTAGTATGAATTAAGAGGAAACATGAACGCTACATCTAGGGGTTGTAGACGGTGAGATGTATGTGGCGGTATTACTATAATATGCACATGATTTGTCCTTGCTTTTTCGATCAGCTTTAAATTTTTTGTGTGTAGCATGACCGTCAAAAACCAATGACACCGGATCAGTCTCGGTAGGCTTTGAATATTTTTAGAAGTGCTCGAACCAGACCTCTGAAAATATTTCATCCACCCAGACTGATGATATTCGACGATTGATTCCGGGGGAAGTCCTTGCTCAAGCGCTGGGCATTTTCTCACTCTCGGAAATATCAGCAGACGCGGAATCCATTAGCGTTGAAACAAATTTCGGCTGTTGTTAAAGTGCCTCTTTCAGCGGAAGAAATATTGCCCACTTGTTTTTTTCCTTTCATGGAGAATATTCTTGAGGGCCTATTTGGTACCGTGGAAACACCTGTTTCATCGCAATTGAAAATTCTACTGGGTGGAAATTTGTATTTTTTTAGCATTTCTTCCAAAAGATTAAAAAATTAATTAACGTTGTATTTATTAAATGAAGAAGCTCTAGTTGCTGATGTGTATTCTGGTAGCCTCAAAGAAATATTTTTGTTTCTGTTTAGAAACCCGTAGATCCAATCACGTCCTGCAAGACCTTTAACTACGTTAAAGGTGTGTTTAATATTGTTTTTTTCTGCAAATTGGAAGGCAAGGTGCCTCAATTCCTTCGTGCCAAGGCCAAAAAGCATACTTTCCATTTCTAAAATAAAATTGGCCAGTTCCTTCTCTTGTTCTGCAGAAAAAACAGGTCTAAATCGTCCCAACAACTTTTTCGATGCTGCCTTGGGTTCTTTGTTAGTTCTTATTCGTCTTCGAAGAGTTGTTAAAGGAACATGGTATTGTGCAGCTGCCTTTTATGTTGAAAGTATTCTGCTTCTAACATCTTGGATTTCTGCTGCCATACTTTCCTCCGACCAAGTGTGATGATGGCTTTTACGTTTAGGTTACGTACCATTATGCCAATTTTCTAAAAAAAAACAGAATATTAATAATAATAATTATTATTATTATTATTATTATTATTATTATTATTATTATTATTATTATTATTATAATGGTTTATTTAAAAATTTAATTAACTTAGTTCTACTCCGAAGTTTACACTTTATAGAAGCTTTTATATTCGCGACACGTCAAATATTGGAAATTTTAAAATTAAAAACAATTTTGTTTCTACTATGGGGCAAAGTGGCTATGCTGACCACTTTGCCCCACCGAAAAAAACCACTTTGCCCCAACATTCATATCAAGGCTTTTCAAGTAAATAAAAAATCCCCTTTGTTTTTCACTCCTTTGCTTGTACAGACATATTAATTAGATATAAAATGTTATTTAAAAAAAGTGTTATACTGAAAAAATATATAAATATTTATATATTTACTTCTAGTTTACTTACCTTTAAAAATTAGAAGGGCGTGGTCCGAAACTTATCACTGTCCGTTAAAAAACACGCGTGCATCTGAGGGCAGTTGAAATGCTACTAATTAGTTGTGCACATAAAGAGGAATTACTGAACCTACAAGCTTGCATAGATGTCGCTAGAATATAGTAAATTTTAAAGAAATCCACTTTGACCCCTAAGGCCCCAAACTCCCCTACTTAGTGATTTATTCATGCACACGGCTGCAAAGTGGTTCTTTCTTAAGCACTTCTCACAAGTCTTGTTGTAGGCTGGACACTTTCTATGTTCATGTGTGTACCCACAATATTTACATATGGCTGTTTCCGTCTTCCTAGGTCTAGCTTTTATTGCATTGACAGCAATTTCTGTCTGTAAAACTTTTGACTGTTGCTTACTAATCTCGGTGGCCCTGCAAGAGTCAATTGCCTTAGTTAATGTTAAATTAGGCTCTCGTAGCAGCCTCTCCTGGGTTGTCTTGTCTAGAATCCCTATTACAATACGATCTCGTATCATATCATCCTGACTGTCATAATTCGTGGTTTTCACGGCTTTTCTCAATTCAGTCAAGAACATGTCAAATGTCTGACCTTCCTTTTGTACTAGGCTGTTAAAGACAAATCTCTCAAAAATTAAATTTTTTTTGGCGAGCAATAATTTTCAAATTTCGTTAAAACATCATCAAGTTTCTTCGGGTCTTCTCCCGTTCCAAAGGTAAAGGAGTTGAATAAATCCAAGCCATCATCCCCAATTAAGTTTAATAGGATCGCCACTTTTTTTGATTCGCCCTTCGACTCTAATTCAGAAGCTTCTAGGAATAACTTGAATTTTTGTGAAAATGCCTTCCAGTTCTCGGCTATGTTACCATCCAGTGATAGATTCTTTGGCGCGTTCAAGATGCCCTCCATTTTTTACCGGTTACTGTGTTTTTCACTGTTTTTGCTATTTTGTTTTGCTTCACCTGACACCATGTATTAATAACGTTAAACTGCCTCTTGCACGTGTAATACAAAAAGTTTATATACAAAAGTGCTCTTTTAAATCCACCCTTACTTCCTACACTCTTAGAAAAGACCTGGTATTTGCAATGAAAATTTAGTTCCCAGAACCAATTTTATTAGTGAAAATAGGCACAACAAAAAAATATGTTGTGGGAACTAATACAAATTTGTTTTTACAGTTTGTTGTCGTAACAGCCAATATTGGTAGCTCCAACCAACAAGTTTAAGTGCATCGAAATTAGTTTTTTCTTCATACAAATAATTGATATTTAATGCAATCACATTAGTCTGTCATTTTAGCAGCGTCTAAGTTGTAACAACTGCACTTGCTATTTATCGCAACAAACATTGTATCATGCAGGAATTTATTTTTTAATTGAAATTACATGAAAAAGGTACATTTAAAGTATTTAATAGTTGATATAATATAAATTTGTTTTGTACTGTAACTAAGTTATATTTAATATTAAATGCTTGCATTAGTAGCAAAAACAAATTGGTATTATTCCACAATACATACCTGCTTAGTAAATATAACACTTTTTGTGTAAATATTATAAAAAATAGAGAAAGAAAATTCATGCCCGTTCGTTTTATAAATATTTATTATAAATTAAAAAATAACAATATAACTGAAAACACCAAATTTTGGTTTAAACATTATAACAAAAATTAATAATTACTCTAAGAAAACATTTATAAATATTTTAACAATAAAACAAAAACGATTCTTTGGTAAATATACACAGATAGGTACATTAAGATGAAAGTTGACTATACTTCTTCAGTAAACCGTGATGTTTACGTGAAGTGCAAGCCTTTGTTTAACAACTTAACAATGATTCTTAGGTACAACGTAACATACTTGCATGATAACAGGGGTAAGCATTCGATAAATTTTGAGTGTGAGTGCCTATAGTATAGGCCCTATACCAAAAATGCGACTTGAGCTGTAACAAAACAAAACAAAAAAATTCTCGAAATTCCGACGTGATGGAGACTTTTGGTGGGCACCATTGGATTCAGGAGGGCATTTTCAGTCGGAATGGCATTTTCACATTTTTTGATTTTTTTTCGGACCCCAAAACTACAATAGTGTAATTAAAGGAGTGCAATAATAATACCTAACCTTTAAAAACTGGAACCAATTCAGGTAAACCCCATGTTCCTAATAAATCTGCTACTTCAGTCCGCTCATCCATATTATTTGTTCGAGATATCTATAAGTAACCAACACATAAGAATATATTCTTATATATATGAATAGTTAAAAAGTATGTCGCCACTGAATTTACAGGGGCAAATGACTAGATGTAATAATAAACTAGTTTCTTACCTAAAATATACCTACACTACACACGAGCTGATACACAAATACAAAAGAACAAACACCACCGAAGTCTGGACGCCGTGCAACACCGTTTGTTTACAGGTTAAAAGTAAAGCACGCGCCAGCTGGACAAATCGCGCGCGAAATGCACAAAGTTTGCAGTTGCATTAACCTACAGAGACAACATCCCCAACTGACACTTTGTTTTACACCACTGGTGTCGAGGGGTCAACCACTAACCTGATATTTGTACACGTATTGCCGAACCACCTATACTGACTAATTACTGCCTTTACTGCCTACTTACTGCTTATACTGCCTTCTTATTGCCCTTACTGCCAATTTACTGCATATACTGCCTTCTTATTGCCCTTACTGCCAATTTACTGCATATACTGCCTATACTGCCTATTTACTTCCAACATTGCCCAGTTACTGCCTTTACTGCCCACATAATGTCCATGGTATATACACATATATACATAGTATATACATGTGTGTAGTTGTGCATTATGCATGTTTATGAAAAAAACACATCAGAATTTTAAGAATGTAATTTATTTGTTCCTTTTTTTACACTTTAAAATATTTAAAGCTATTATATACTTTTTTTATTGCCAGCCTATCTTTTCTCGTTAGTTGAAACGGGTCGTTTCCTAATAGTTTTATGGGACCATATATGATATACCGGTTATCAACTGTTTGCAGGTCTTCAACTTTTGGCCATACAAAATCATCTAAATAAGATTCAAAAACTTAATTTTTGATGTGTTTTCATCAATACGTGTAATTACTCTACCGATATACCAGCTATTGTCGTAATATACACAATAATATTCTTCATTTTTAACTTTTATAAAGTTGCCCGAAAAGTTGCCTTTATCCTCGTTTGATGCAGGTATTGAGTCGATCTCTGTATCCGAAAACGTTTCACTTAAGGTCTCACTTTCGCTTGCATACTCCACATCATCATCTACTTCTGATGACTCCGAAGACATCGATGAAAGGTCACTTTCATTTTTGGTAATTTTTGTAGTTCTATTTTTAGCATTTTTTAGTTTGGTGCTCGGTTTAGTGTCCAGCTTTGATTTTGTTTCTTGTTCTTTTATGATTCTGGAAGTTTTTTTTTAACTTTTATTTCAACAGAATCCTTTTTTGATTGTTTCTTTTGTTTATTATTTGGTTGGGTACTGGTCATTCCTCGTACTCGTAATAATCTGTCGGACGACAGTCGTTTTGACTGTTCACTAAAAAACCAACAAAGCGACGATTTTCTAACAGTAATTTCTTTATTATTACGTAATCTTACGGTTAGGTATGGAATACTGGAAGAACTACTAATATTTTTTTATGCGACTGTAAGTCATGCTGGGAATAGTCCTTTAGGTATAAATTATCAAATGTCGAAAATAATGTAGATTTTTCAGCTGTATCCGGTTCTTCAATATTTTCCTGATCAGACACTTCCATTTCTCCAAATTCGATATTCTTCTCCAAGTCACTTTCCGAGTCACTTTTATTTTTTTCATCTTTGTCTTCATTTTTCTCATTGTCTTTCAAAACTGATACGGAAATGGTTTGAAAAACTTTTTCCGGCGAATTCATTGACTGGTTTTCATTTAAGCCTCGATTTAAGTCCTCCCTAGATTCCAAGAAAGAGATTCCCAACGCAGTCAATTCTTGTAATGCGTTATTTTTTGCAGATTCTATAACTTCTTTGATTTCAGCCGAGGATGGTAATTTCTTTGGATGTTCAGTAGTATTTCTTTTACCGCCTAATCGTTTATTATCCTCTCTCGGGAAACAAAATTTATCACCTGCAAAATATAAAAATATTAATTTAATAAAAAAAAACACATGTGACCATGAATTACTTAAATCACTGCTAATCTCATTTATAGATTGAATTCTATTAAGTCTTCGTAAAATATCTACTAAGCAATAGTTGACTACTGTCGAATATGTGCTTGTCATAGATCTAGTCTGTCGAAAGATTTTTTCGCAGGGTTGACTACTGTAGAACCAAGGTAAAAATGTAGCAACAGAATCATCTTCTCTACATTTTTGTATTAAAAGTATTAGGCTTTGAGCATTAATCTCAATGCAAGTGTATGTATTTAATGTGATACAATTATTTTGAATGCTATAGCCATTTTGCCGTATCCAGAATCTCCATCCTCTAATGAAAAAAACGCAATACCACATATTATAAATTCGTTCGGAAATATCCAGGTCCTTATTCAAAAATGCATCAATAATGTATCTTGTTATGAGCAGAAACTGTCTTGTGGCTTGAGCGCCAGATATCCCTTTTATTACGCAAAAAGCAGTCATTTTATCAATTGCATCAAAGTTCATCTTATCGTTACCTACAAAATAAATCGTTCAATGTCTAATATATTAGGACAAAATAAAGTCATACTTTCTAACATCGACCTGCAGAGAAGGTGTTTATCTTTCGAATAATTATCAATTAAAAATTCGACATGTTCTTTAGAAACTTGATGGGACCCCATTGGCATAATAATACCTGGTTTCAAAAGCCTTGTTTTTAACTTGGTGGCTATATGCACTGTATCTTGAAGTACTACAGGTTTTTCCAAGTTAAAATCAGCCTGCAAAATAGACATTTAAATTTTGATCATGTATAGGTACTACCTACCTTAAAATAAGACTCATAAGGACATTCACATCCATCTTGTTTCTTCGTCTCGTGATTTGAATGTCCCACATTTGACCATATTCGCATTGATTTTAAGCATTTTGGGTCTCCATCCGAAGAAAATCCTTCAATGAGTATTCCTTCTTTTCCTGCCTCATTAACTATGTGATTCCATCTTTTTAGGACGTCTTTATAGTTGAATCTATTGTCAGTTCCAAATATTCCTAAACAAAATCCAGGGGTATGTTCAGCCAAAGGCTGTGCCATAAATACATAAGCATTGTTGCTTATGGTTCCCTCCTTCAATGCTATTTCAATATCGGACAAAGTATTTACAACGTATTTTCCAGTTATTGGGAAACCAGTATTTTCAGACAGAGGTAACAAGAATCCAGTCATCTCATTTGTTTTTGGATCGTACTGAATTCTTCTCAAAATGGCAGTCTGATCTTCACTTATAAAAACCTTTAGTGGCAGATTTCTCTTAACTAAGTAAGTCTTTAATTCAGAAAATCTAAGTTGACCTTCCTTAATTTTTTGGCATTCATCTAAAGTTTTATTGATTGTTGTTATAGAAGGCAAGGAACATCTCAAATTTTGATAAAGAGTTTCATATAACAGTCTTCCTCCAATAATAAAAATATACAGACCAAACAATTTTAATGGTTCATCAAATCTATTTCCATGTAATTTTACTTCGCTGTTTTTAAGTGCATGTTCCTTTAAGATATTCAGCAACCCCTTACTTTTATTAGTACGTTCATCAGCCGTAAAAGTAATCTGGTCAATGTATTGCTTAGAATGTTGCAACAAATTCTGTCTCATTGTAGAGTCTCTTTCCAAATACATTTGAACATTCTTAAAGACTGAGTAAAAATCAGACAATTTTGTTTGATTTTGATGCAAAGCAACAGTATTCAACATCCTACGGTTACGTTGATGACGACTCCTAGGATTTTCGTTAAAGCGATGATTGAAGCTTTGTTTAGGTGTTGCTTGCAGCTTTGAATATAACGCGGAGGTGCCCGCCCGAGTTTCCCCCTCTAAGTCACCTCCGCCCTCCTGAAAAAAACAGTTCATTTTCTAAGTCGTCCACAGTAATACGGTCCTGGGAAGAATCTTCCGAGCTAATCCATAAAATATTTTCCTGGCCAATATCAATATTTTGGTTAGGTAAGGTAGGATTCGTAAGGACATTCGGTATTAAAACTGTATTAGAATCAATGGGAATAGTTGACATATTAATGTTATTACTTTCTTCCTGATTTTGGGGATGTATTACAAGGAAATTGAGCAATGATGAATTTGTAGAACCCTTTGATGGTCTCAGTAATTGTTCATTCATTTCGGATTTAAAATGAGTCTTAAGATGTTTATTGAAATTAGACAAAATCCACTTTTTACCGTACCGTCCATCAGATGAAGATACTTTGTATTCAAAACCACATTTCGGAATTGGGCAACGAACTGTTGCAAAAGAAAATGTAGGACCTTCCCCCAGTATATTTACAACAATGTCTTCAGTATTAAGATTTTGTTCTTTTCCCAAAGAAGAGTACAATTTTTTAACATATTCTTGAGACAGTCGCTTTAAGTGATCTATAATATTTTTCTTGGCTCTAAGTTGATCGTCTATGCCCGAGATGTTTCCTAATGCATCATTTTGAGTTTTCAGATTTTGTTTATCAACTTTATTTCTTTTTTCATTTTTACAGGTACACTTGCATTTATCGCAACCGTTTATATTTTCTTTTTTTCTTTTGAGAGGTTTTCTTTGACTTGCTTTATAAATTTTGCAAGCTTCAGAAAAAGACTGTAATAGCTTTTTGTGACCGGGTGGTATTTGAAACAATTCCGTATTTTCAGCGTAAATACCATAAATATCTAACTTTTCTTCGGATGATTTTTTCATCATTAGCTTAGGTAGGACCTTCTGTGCGAAGCATTCCATATCACAAATGTCTTGATCGTTCATTAAAGAGATGCCTTCTAAATTATCAAAGCCTTGGTAGATTAATAATTGTCGAATATTTTTTGGTATATAAAGGTCTGAATCAATTTTATGTAATATAGTCTCGACTGAATCCATAACCGACTCCATAACAGTATCCTCGATAATAGTACCTACAGAATTACGAGTATTTCTTATAAAAAGCTTACCGTCGGAGTAAAAAGTTAATGTCTGGCTTAAAAAGATAATCTTAATACAGGGAGGAAATTTTATAAATTTTATTCGTTTATTAACATTGTATTGTATAATGTAAAAAATTTCGACTGCTCTTGAAAGCATTTAACAGGCTATTCTGTTTATTAAAGTGTTTAATTCGGCAGCACAATATTTTATATTTCAATTTTATATCGTTATAAAGAAAAAAATGTCCGTAAAAGGGGACCTACAAATCCTTTATATGGAACTAAATATTCACGTGAAATGTAAACAATTATTCAATAATTTTCTCTTAGGCGTAAGCAAAAAATAATAATTTGAGGTAAAAAAAGTGCGCTTTATTATAGGGGCTTCGATATGGGGCCATAAATTATTAAGGTAAAATCTGCTTCATTTAAATTTAAATCCTCTTTAAAACAAAACTAGTTTGATAAAATTTTGTTTGTCTTAAAAGTCAGTGACCAGAACTTTTTTTAGTTAGTGAACATTAAGGTAAAAAAAAGCTTAATTAGTATACCTAGTTGAATTTATAGTAAAGTTATCTTTTAAGGGTCATTTTAATAATCACCTTTTATTTTAAAGTCACATTAGACAATAATTTTTAATTTTAAAATAAAGGTTTTTCTTAATTAATAATTTTAGAAACATAAATAAAATAATTTATATTAAAAAGATTCAAGAATTGACCATTATTTAAGATTCGTGTAGATAAAAATGAACAAAAATCCGAGCAAAAATCATGAAAACCATTTATTTTGGTGGATTTATGCAACACAAACATTAAGTTAACTTTAAGAGATGGCCAACTTTTATCTTTTTATTGATAATATTAATTTTTATTTCTTCTGCGCAATAAATATACCTCGTCAGTAATGCAACATAACCTCAAACAAAATAAAATGTGCTGGATGAGTCGTTTTCACTTTTAAATAGTTATTTTTTACTACTTAAATAGTTAGTTAAAGTTTGACTAATTTAAGATTAGTAATCATTTTTGACTTTTTCTGAGAGTTAAAAGTAACTTTTCTTTAATCGTTTGCGTCCAACAACAAATTATTGTTTGATTTAAATTTAAATGGCCCATAAAAACAATCAAAGATGCAAAAAGTTTAGCTCAAAACAGCAACACAAAAAATATATTCAACTTTAAAATATTATGAGCAATATTTATAGACAAATAAAATTGATTTTAATGAAGGTGATTGATGGCCAAATTTAAATTTAAATCTACTAATTTGGCTATTTCATTCAGTAGAATTTGACTAATTATTAGTCACTGCTTTTTCGCTATGACATATGACTTATTTTTGACTAATTCATTTTAAGAGAGTGACGTGCAGTTTTTAGTTGGTTTCTATTTATATGACATGAAACTGAAATAAGTCCCCTAAATGATAGTGAAAATTAAGAATTTGTCAAACTTAACGTCTTACAAGGTCGCTTTTGTCCGCAATGCGTACTCGTAATTTGCCAATAATTTTACTGCATAAATCCACCATATTTTAAAATTTAAGTTAAAGTAAGTTATTAAAAATAGGCCTACAGAATTTTTCTCGGTATTAACTAGTTGTTTACAATACTTACCGAAAAACCACACACAGTTAAACTAATAAACACAAACACAAATAAGTTTGCAAAATTAAAACGGAGATACCTCAGGGGATACCAGAAAGAACGTTAGCTGGGACTTAGCAGTGCCGAGTGCAATGAAGTCTGCTGAATATTACCGAATTACTACCGGTACTGCCCATGTACTGCCGGTACTGCCGAAGTACTGCTCACGTACTGCCCATGTACTGCCGGTACTGCTCACGTACTGACCAAGTACTGCTCCCGTACTACCGATATTGCCTATTTACTGCTGCATACTGCCGATGCTGCCTTTGTACTGCCTTTGTACTGCATACATTTTGTGCACGTATTGCCGACAGTGGTTGACCCCTCGACTGGTGTCTTAGCTGTGTGAAAACTGACGCATAGTTTATACAACCGAACCGTTAGTTCCACGGACTAATTTCAGTCAGTTGAGAATGTTACTTAAATATTTGGTATAATGTTGTCAATACTTCTAGCCAATACAAAGTTTCAGTTAATCGCCTTTTTTTGCAGTAAATAATACTCAACAACAAAACTAAATCTTTTCAGGTAATGATGCAAGCAGTTACACATATAAAGGTACTGATTACAAAAAACAAAAAAATTTATTTTCTGCAACAGTTTTACCCACAGACAAAATAGACTTGCCTTAGGGAGAAAATGATACGGCCGGGCGGGTGCCTGAACGGGTGCCTGTTTTCCAGTTCGCATCATTCATATTTGAGCAGTTGACCTGTGAGGATATATTATTTATGTAAAATTCTTTGAACATTATGGGTAAATGTGTTGTCAAAGTGTGTCCTAGTCGTAGTGAAACTAGTTCCAGCCAATTCCAACCAATTTCCTTTTTCCAGTAAGTAGTAATTACGAGATAAATTTTAAGCGATTTTATTAATTTTGCATGTCAATACCTTGCGTGCGCACACAGATGTTGTGTTGTTCTCTCCTTTGCACAGAGCCGTATGTCGTTCATTCTGGAGCGTAAAACTAGATGAATTTCTTTGATAATCCACTAGGAATATTTTAAATAAAATATAATATTAAAATAATACTTTTTTCACTTTTAGTGGAAATTTATTTCATTTGGAGTTATTTATTCTGACTTTTTAGCGAAATTGGTCTGTTTCGTTCAGTTTTTTATTTTAAAATTTTCAGAATTTTAATTTTTTTTTATTTTAAGAGCTTAATTTGCCTTTTTTTTATTAGAGAATTTATAATTTATTCTATTTTTTTTATTTTTTTTTATTAAGGATTACATTAAAATTTGTTTAAATACATAATTTATTTAATTATTTTTACGTTTTTTCGTGTTTAAAATCTATATCGAATTTATGTACTTACAAATATATAAATGTAAAACAAAATAAATTTAATACTTTTTAAAAAGATACCGCTCGTACGAAATTATTTAATACGGGCCTGGCAGAATACATATCTTCTCTTATATAATATATAATATAATGTATACATTCCCTTGCCTATGAGGCGCCGTTTGCGTCAAAATTATTCTAGGCTTATATAGATAAAAAATTCCACACATACATGCGAAAATGCAAATATAAAGTTTCTTTTTGGTACATATACCTATAGAAATGCAAAAGTTAAGGTACAAATATAAAGTTTTGTTTTGGTACATATATAAAAATGCAAAAGTGCAGGTATAAATAGTTATAAAGTTTTGTTTTGGTACATATATAGAAATGCAAAAGTGCATGTACAAGGTTTCGTTTTGGTACACATATAGCTATGCAAATATGTGGGTACAAATATAGAATATAATATAATGTTATATAAAGTGTAGCATGGGCCGTTGGTACAAATATAAAAAGTAAGGTTTAGGACGGAGACACAAGATGGCGTTTTTAACACTTTCAACCGCGCTTAAGCGTACGTCTGTTCTTACTACCGGCATTTAAATTTTCTATTGTGTATAGATTAACTACTTTTAACGTTTGTTTGTTTTAATTAAAAGGAGTTTAGTTGAAAATAGGTAGGGGAAAGGGGTGTAGATTCGGCATGTTTTTGCATTTTTTTGTATGTAAGGCAGATTGATAACATTGCCTTTTGGCTTGACGATGGCCTAGACAGAAACTTGATATTTTTAAAAATCGGGGAAAAATAAGAAATATTTTACAATAGCGTAAAATGCTGAAAGTACCCCACTAGTGGGGTACTTTCAGCCGGTGTATGGGGTACATTCGTCAAAATGAAAAAAATGTGAAGAGATGTGAAAATCTTTATTTAAAGGTAACGCACATGTCATTTAAACATACTTAAATTAATCATTTAACATTGAGGCCTTCAAAATTATAAGGAAAACTGTGAATAGAGGACGTTCGAGCAGTTGCCGATTTGCTAGGTTTCTTCATTATTGCCGCAACATCACCCCATTCAACAATACTAATATCTTTTACTGTGGGGTAAACAAATGTGTTAGAAATACCTTTTCTTCTAAGAAAACTTATTTCAAATTCCAAACTTTCAGCTTTCAAGACGTGCCCTATGAAATAACAATGCTGAAAGTGCCCCTGCTAGAGAAGCCGAAAGTACCCCTATCCAACTTTTTCCCGCGAAAGGCATCTACAGCAAAACAGCATAAGTTTAAAGGATATATATGTTTACTAAGTTATACAACTGATTACAACATATAATTGACGCGTTGAAAGCTTACAAAAGTTGAATAAAAATAAATATAATCAAGAAAGTTAACTAAGCATAATATCTTACCTTTTTGTCAAAAATTTATAAAATTATCCAGCACCAAAACTATTCACGCTGTTGTCTTAAAACTACACAATTGGCATCACGACACTATTACCAACTTGCAATATCAAAATTAACTCGCCAAGTTTAAAAATATCCCAAAAATAAATAGGTGCCGATTCTACCCCTATGCCGAATCTACACCCCTTTCCCCTAAGTTATAAACGCCGTTTTACTTTTTACTCTAACCTATTTTTTACAAAACGATTCGTTTTAATTAAAACAAACAAACATTAAACTTAAATGCCGGTAGTAAGAACAGACGTACGTTTAAGCGCGGTTAAAAGTGTTGAAAACGCCATCTTGCGCCTCCGTCCCAAACCTTACTTTTTATATTTGTACCAACGGCCCATGCTACACTTTATATAACATTATATTATATTCTATATTTGTACCCACATATTTGCATATCTATATGTGTACCAAAACGAAACTTTGCACATGCACTTTTGCATTTTCTATTTATGTACCAAAACGAAACTTTATATTTGTACCTCCACTTTTGCATTTTTATATATGTACCAAAACAAAACTTTATATTTGTACCTTTACTTTTACATTTCTATATATTTACC